GGGGGGGGGGGGGGGGGGGGGGTACTCTTATGTATTGCATGCTTTAGCGGTAAGACCATTGACCAGGCGTCCTCGAGAGGACGGAACATTGTTCCCACAGGACTTATCACCGATGGCCAATCGTTCCTTCCTGCTTTGCCAAAGGTGGCTCAAAAATGGCTTCCGTCTATCTATCCTATCAATATCACAGGGCGGGGGGGGTACATATCTGTGATGTGTAAGGTTGCGTGATGCTTGTCGGAGGGGAAGCGGGGGTTCGAGAGGGAATTATGAGTGGTCCGGCGGGAGTCTCTTTTTTACGTGTGCAAACGTGGTCATGCTAGGATGTTGCATACGAGGCATCTATCTTCTCGTCCGGCCAGTCGGGAGATCAACTGCGGGGCCTTGAAAAAAGGAGGCGTATGAAGGGGAAACCCTTACTCCCATTGACAAATCCAGAGAGAAAAAACGTGCTGCGTACCACGGTGTTCGGCATGCTTGGTCTGTCTTCCTTACGCGCATGGCCACACAACCATTCTGCCCCCACACGGCATGAAGGGAGGACGTTGGTAAGGCCTGGCACCGCGCTGGGCTGGCCACAAGCAACAGAGCGGAGAGTCTCACGGCAAGCGACGGAAAACTACACATGCTCAAGACTTGACGTGGGCAGATCTTCTTGGCATTGTCGACAATTGCAACGCACATTCTGAGAGTCTCACGGCAAGCGACGGAAAACTACACATGCTCAAGACTTGACGTGGGCAGATCTTCTTGGCATTGTCGACAATTGCAACGCACATTCTCCAAGTAATCGACTTCGATGATACCCGATTCTCACGGAGATTCCTGTGACAACAAGCTAACTGGTAGCACGGCCACCACAAGGAAATTCTCCCGAGAATTAGAAGGAAAAAAAAAGGGCAGAAACTGGCTTACAATTGCGGAGCTTAGAATAGCTCTGCATGTTCTCGGATAGCAACTACAAACGCAGCAAGACATCGCCTCGCTCACTTTTCCTTCGGTGCACTCAATCGTGAGCCAGGCGTTCCGGCCCTCCCTCCCCTTGCCCCCGCCCCCTTCCACTCTCACGAACATGCCCTTGTACCGAACCCCGTCGATTGTGCAGCCGCTACGCATGGCCCTCAGCTTTTCTTCCGTAATCTGCGCGTCGGGGGGGGGCGGGGGGGCTTAATAGAAGATGGCGATGAGCAACGAGGGCGCCTATTGGCCCAACCAATCCTAGAATGCGCCGCGAATGGCAGGGTAGGCGCAAGCACAACGGGGCATTGAATGCTGGAATGGGGCACCCGGATACTGGCAATAATAGGCATCGCGAGAGGGATGAACGATTTGCCAAAAAATCAAACCGCGTGCTCACCGCTTTCCCGCTTAAATGATGAGAAAGGACAACTTGCCCCGCTGGCTATGCTTCGCTTGAGAACCCGGACCGATTTCGAGCATCCTTCACCGGAAGAACTTTCCAGCGTTTTTAGTTTCACGAAAGGCACTGTCAAAGATATCTCTGAATGTAGATTGTTTTTGTTTTCGTCATCCCAACCGCTTTGTTTGTGCCGTCCTCCCTCCGGCCTCTAAAAAACGGTCCTTGCTACAAATCGACACGCCAAGGGTACTCCGCCACCTAATCGCTGCGACCCCTATCGCGTGTCAATAACTCCAAGTCAACTACGGCATCGCCCTCTCGCGGCACCCCAATGTCACACACTTGTTGGAGCTCCGCAACGCTAACACTGCCGAGGTGTTTACCTTCCGCAGTGCACAAAGGTGAAACCCTTGCTGTGGAGCCAAACGCCCCCTCAACTTGTCAGGTGAAAAAAAGAAAAGGGCCAAGATGACGTGCAACAACTACATCATGCCAACGCGCTCGATCAGACTAACGGCATCGCGACTATCAAGATGGCATAGTTGCAGCAGGCGCTGCAGTAGACAAGATTGGCGTTTCGGATACCTCAGGACACATTTAAGTCAAACCGCCAGACCGGACCATCGCCAACCGTTGGCATGGATGCGGTGCAAACGTCATAAATCACATGCCTTGGCGTTACGCCAACTCCAAAAACAAGTTCCGACAGCACCTAAGGAGCAGAAAGGCAATACCAAAACAATCGCGAGATTCAGAGCTAACGCGTTTGCAGGAAAATTCATGCATTCAGACTACCCGGGCGTTCAGCACTATTCAGAGCTGAACGTACTACAAGAAGACAACTTGAACACTCGATCCCTGTCACGCGATTTCCTCTGGCAATTGACAGGGCAACCGGCCTTGTGCATGAGGCCTTACATACAGAGTCCCACGCTGGTCTTCACAGACAGACAGCCAACAGACCATTTTCGATGAACACTCAAGAGCGCCAAGCGATCAACAATGCACATGGGATGCAGGTTCTGAGAAAAGTGAGGGGGAGGCTCACGTTGCCGTAGACTCGAACCGAGTAGGTGCGCACGATGTTGCTGCTCGGAAGCTCCATCTTGCGTGCTAGGTCCCCGTCGTTCGTGAGCAGCAGGAGGCCTTCCGTGTTGTAGTCTAGCCGGCCCTAAGGTGTTAAAAAAAAAAATACAAAGAAACGGGTTGTGGAAAGAGGGATGTGTCCTCGGCAGACGTTTGGGTAGATTGTACCCTATTATTGGGTAGATTGTACCCTATTGGGTAGATTGTACTCTATTGGGTAGATTGTACTCTATCGGGGAGATTGTACCCTTTCCGGTAGATCGTACACTTCTGGGCAGATTGTACCCTTTGGGTTAGAGGATCTCCGCAGAAGGTTGCTTTTCTAAACGTCTCGAAGAAACAAACCAGGCGGTTGTGTGGAGTGCTCGTTCCAGCCCAACACCCACAGCCTGTGGTCGCAGCGGCAAGCACGCGTCATAGAGAGAGGCGAGGGCCGGGGGGGGGGGGGGGGCGTACTCTTACGAGAGAGGGGAGGGCCGGGGAGGAGGTAAAAGACAGCCCCCACCTCTTTTCTCGACAGCTGCCAATACTAACAACATTGCTCCACGCTTTCCATCCGTCGCCTAATAATGGAACACACCAAGGAACAAACTGCAGCAGTAGCATACCCTCTCGGCCGCGTGGCCCGTCGGCTTGCTCCAAGCGCGCACGGCAGTCAACCTACAACAAGCAAACGACGTGTGTACGTGGGTAGTTTGCGCACCACTGGCATCAGTGTGTCGGGCAGCTTGAGCTTGGTCAGCCTGTCGAACACAGTCGGACGCCCTTCCGGGTCGTGCCTCGTGACCAGCTCGTTCCTCATCTTGTGCACCATCCACAGCTTCGGCGTGTGGCTTTCCGGCCTTTCCAGCACCTTCCCCTGCCTCGACAAAGATACGGCATCGCGTAGGGCAAAGCAGGCGGAATCGTACGAGACGGGAAGAGGGTCAAGATCGTGATCGCTCGAGTGCGGAGGTGATGGTAATGTCAGTAATGTCACACCGGGGTTATCCTTGGTGACCACACGGGCAGGCACGGGGTGCATGAGACCGACAACAGCAGTGGCGCATCCCCCATCAACGAACTACGAGTCTGCATGATGTCCAGAGCCCTCAACCGAACCTGCGAAGGGTTCTTGGTACAACTACGGTTCCATGGGACGTGTGTTAACACGGAAGTGAATTGGAGAGTGCAGGCGCGAACGTAATCCACGCTGCAACAACACGAGTGGGTCCTTCACTAACAGCAGGAGAGAGAATGCCTCCTGCCTGAACACTCCACGTTGAACACAGCGCCGCTGATTCTTCTACCAAACAGCCGCGTGGTCGCAAGACAGGCAGCTAAACAACGAAACTAGAACGAGAAAACAACACCCGCAGAGAGGGGGGTACTCCTTCACGCGAACTACAACACAAGAAAAGCAACATGCGAAAAAAAAGGGAAATTCCTGCCTGCACAGAACGCGAGACCGACGTGGCACACAATTGGCCACCGAAAACTCGTAAAGGAAGCAACCGCACTACGCCTTCGGCTTGAAGCACGAGCCAATGCCGTATCGCTAAGATATGATAAGCACAATAGCGGTGCATCAAAGTCCACCTGGACAAAAGTGAAACAATCAGTCCCATTCCCCGGCTGCTGGAACAAACCCACATTGACTTTGACGATGTCTCGTGGGCCGACGTTCAGCGCCGGAGTTTGCACCGTCGCTCCGTTCACCATTACCACCCCCGCCTCGACCATACGCTCGGCCTCACGCCGAGAGGCTATGCCGGACCTCGCGATGCGGCGAGATAGGCGCATCACGGACGGGTCTTTGGTCGGCGGCTGCTGTAACGCCTCCTCGTCCCCAGGCTCGGTGGCCGTTGCTGATTGGTCGACATCGTCGTCGTCTGGCTCGGCCTCCGTTGCTGATTGGTCGACATCGCCGCCGTCGTCATCCTCTGCCTCCGTTGTGAGTAGATCGTCTACCCCGCCGATCAGGCCGTGAAACCCACCAGCCCCTTCCTCCTGCCCCTCCCCCCCGCCAGCAGCACGGACGTCTGCCTCGTCACTGCTCTGCAGCCGTCCCGCCACGACGTCCGGGCCTCTGACCGTCGCAGACGCAGACATCGCCCGACATGGTGGGCACGGGGGCATTGTTGCCCCCGCCGCTGCACCAACAGAAGAGTGACCATGTCTTATCGCAAGAGGAGGCTGTCTACTGCTGTGTGGCGTGGACGTGGGTCCCGCTGTGCTTCGGAGGAAGCGGAGGAGGTGGAGACCGGCACCCGGAACGGATCGCCGGCAGGACGCCGCTGCTGCTGTTGTCGTTTGCAAGGCAGCCCTCGCCGCATGTGCTTCGCCGCGGCGGCATGGGCCTCGCACACGCCGCGCGATTGATAGCATTCCTGCCGTGTTTCGTTTGAACGAATTGAGTTGCGTGGGGGAGGAAGGCGCCGTAAGTGAGGGAGAAAGGCACCCGAAAGACAGGGTGGCGGTGCGCAAGGGCTGTGACGCATGAGGTAGTCGTCGCAGAGCAGTAATTCGCTTCGGTGCATCCATGGCAGTGGCAGAGCCCTAAAGCAACAACAAATTTCGCCACGTGTAGTGGTGCGAATTGAAACCACGTCGCGAAACGCGCACACCACCCTCGTGCAGGCGACACGGGTCAGCCGTCGCAAGGGTCAGTGGTCACCGAGAGGCGCACTTCTGAGGCAGAAAACGCGTGCGACCTGCAACCAGGGGAGGCTTGGGGAGACGCTTAAGGGCGCACTGGGGATCGCAGTACCTCCTCTGAAAAATCCAGGAAACGCCTGCATATCTCGGTTTTCCAAAGTCGAACTTCAGTACGAAATTTCCATCGCAAATTAACCGTCCGCCGAACCCCCCTCGTGTACAATGTTAGTAGCTGAGGTTGTAGCCCTTGCGATACACTACAGACTAGCGGTCCGCGATTCCAAACGATCCTTCTATCATCGAGTTCGGTGAGCTACAAGCTAGGTTTTTGAAGCTGCTGTGCGGTCCGATTTTGAAACGCTTCAAGCACCTATGCTTAAAGGCTAGACATGCATATAAATGACTCCAGGCATTCAAATTGACAATGACGACCAGCTGGATATGTGAGGGAAGAGCTGCGCTGAAGTTCGCGGCCCCATTCACTCACATAGGCGGTGATTCGTGTTCACCGTGTGCTTGAAGCGTTTCAAAATTGGACCGCACAGCAGCTTCAAAAATCTAGCTTGTACAGTAGCTCACCGAACTCGATGATAGAAGGATCGTTTGGAAAATCGCGGACCGCTGGTCTGTAGTGTATCGCAAGGGCTACAACCCCAGCTACTAACATTGTACACGAGGGGGGGTCGGCGGACGGTTAATTTGCGATGGAAGTTTCGTACTGAAGTTCGACTTTGGTATTATGCAGCCGTTTCCGGGCGTTTCCTGTTTTTTTGAAGAGGAAGTACCGCGATCCCCAGTGCGGCCTTGAATTTGGAAACCTAAGTGTTTGAGCGGAAAAACCAAAAGCAACGTATTGCTATGCATATGGCACAACAGCAGTCTGTGTCTTGCCCTACTGTTTACCCATGGAATTTAAAACAACTCCACTCTAGCTCGTTACACTTGTGTACTGCCTGCGTGCTGTAGATCAATGGGCAAACCGCCGCAGCGCCGCACACAGCTGTCGGGAGTTTGTACTGACGGACAGCACTCTCAGAGAACTCGACAAGCCCGTGACTACACCATCAGACCAAACCTAAGATTAGGGCACAGCAGTCGTGTATGGCAACAACTTTGTCTTCATCCGTCGAGCAGTATCACAGCAGGCCGTTAATTACTGGTGCGAGGTTGGTGCTGCTGTCTTTCCGCCGTCTTGCTCCAAGGATGTGTGTACCTGTACTGTAGTTTTCATGTTGTGGGTGTTTTGGTCACTACCTAGATCATTCTTCGTGAGCAGATTCACGTGTCTTCGACCCAACGACCTCACCTCTTGAGAACACCACCCGCAACAAGGTAGTAGTAGCAGCAGCAGCAGCAGCCAGCAGCCTGGCAGCTGGCAGTCCAGCCGCACAGCCGCACCACCGACCCAGGACGGCGGTGGGATTGGGGGCACCACGAACCGGAATACAGCTAGCTGCATACTTGGAATTATAGCTAGCTGCAGACCCCCACGGTCTCGGAGGTTGTCGGAGGTCTTCTCGGCACGGCTATTCTTGCCTGTTACTTTGAGACCAAGAGACAGGAGGAGAACACCCGTACTCTGGGGAAGAACAGCGCCACCGTCAGGTATGGACCAAATCGAGTCGCTGAGTCGTTCGTGATGCAACTTGAGCTCCCAGTAGTTGTGGTGCAATGTCCTGAACCCAAGCTCTCCAAAGGCCCCATGCTGGTTCTCTTTTCCACCCTGCGACTGCTGTACCTCTGCTGTAGATGGTGTGGCTGTGGCATAGAGCACGGCTATGGTAGCGTGTACTCTGCTGCGTACGCTTGGCCCACGTGCAGGGGTATGGGATGTCCGCCCGTGTAGCCCCGCCTACCTATGTCCAATGCACTGCTCAAAGGTTCACATATCATCAGAGTTTGCACCATTCTTCTATATTGGTGCAGAGGGCCAAGGGTACAGGCACGAGCAGCAGCAGTTGCACTGCTGGAAACTGCTGGATGAGCTAGGCGACGCCGTTCGGACTACTTTGCACCGCCGCTTCGGCCAGCTGTGGTTTTCCACAACACGCGCGCAACTCTCTCTGTAAGCCAGTTAAATATTATGTATCATCCAATTTAAGAGTCGCTCCGCGTTATGCTGTGATGACGCTCCGCGTTACTCTCTCGTCGTCCTGCCCAGGACGATTCGGAGCGCGCCTGCAAAACACCAGTTGCAGCAGCAACGCCGGGGAAGGAGTTGGTTGTAGGAATAGTCACCACCAGAGATGTCGGACATCAGCGTGGATGGGTGCCCGATATGGGCACCCTTTGTGGGCTTCACAGGGGTGATGTTCGCGCTCGTCTTCGCAAGTGAGTCCCATATGGTATATACGACTGCTGTGCCTGCCCTTCATTCCCCAGCTACGCAGGTGTACGTTTGTGTCGGTATACGGTTGTGCCTCCCACTACCGTAGGTGGTTTGCCGCAGGATATCACACCCCATGGGTCGAATTTCGAAGCTCGAGTGCTCCACAGCAGGATGGTGCCGAACACGTCGGCGGTGGGACCGCCTCGCCGAGAGCTTTCCCAGAACGTATGGTTTGATGTTGTGCATTACACCCTCTTCGCCTCTTCGTCGTGGAGTTACCGAGTTTTGGAGATTGGTCCAGGGGGTGCGATGTCTTGTGCCACTTACGGTTCTATCCAGGTGTGCTTTGTGTTCTTGGTAAGCAGCGCGATCCGGTTGGCGTGGATGACGTCGCTGTGCCGGTTGGTGGGTATTTCTGAGAAGCCGTTGGTGCGACATATGTCGATGTGTCCTACGGCATGCCCAACACATGCACAAGTGCTCTATTTTAGACGTAAAAAATTACCAAAGAACACAGAGACTACCTACCCGTTCGAGAGGTAACCACAGTCGAATGGGATGTGCTGAAGACTTTTGTTACTACGCTGCACGTCCAACAGCCACGTTTGACCTTTCGGAAGGTGTGGTGCGACCTAGGTCTGTCCTAAGGCATGCCCACATGCAGAAGACGCTCTGTTGCTGTTCCGCTGCACGCTAGATGCGTCCAACAATTTGACCTTTCGGAACTTGTGCTGCTTTGCGCGAACAGACGGCGGCGCGGCGTACGGGACTGCTAAGGCAGGGATGGGTATCGGGGCGATGGGCGTCATGCACCCTCAGCTGGTGATGCGGAACATCATCCCGGTGGTCATGGCGGGTGTTTTGGGAATCTACGGCCTCATCGTTTCGGTCATCTTGCTCGGATCAAGTGAGGCTTGCCGTGGTGTTGTCGGCTTTGTTTTTCGGCCGCATACCGCAGTTCGCGCTTGGTACCGCGCCCCTGGGTCGATTTTTAGCGCTCGGTTCTCCTGCAGCTTAACGCTGCCGAAAATGACGGCGTTTGGCAGCATCTCGTCGATAGCTTTCCGAAAACGTATGGTTTGATGGTTTGATGTTGGCGTCCTCTTCGCCGTGGAGTTGTCGAGCTTTAAAGTTCGGTACTGTGGTGTTGCTCTTTTTGCCTGTGCTTGGTTTGATCGGTATACCGCTTGCCTGATTTCTGCACCTCGTCGACGCCAGGCCTACCTTCGAATTTAGGCAGCACCCTTTCGGGAAGGGTGTGTGTGTGTGTATACTCGTAGTCGTGCATGCCGAGGTCGTTAGACCATTGACCTCGCATCCCTACAAAGCCGGGACGGAGCACACCGGGTTCTCACCGGACCAGGCTCTCATATCACCAAGCGCGAAGCGCCGTGAGGTATTCGGCGAGTCGCATGAAGGATGCGCTGCATCCTGCTAAGGGTGTTCGGCATCTTGTGCTTACTTCCTTGCGTACGGATGACAGCTGCGTATGACTTAACTTATTTTCTGGTGCTTTCACTTCCAGAGACAGTTATAAGCACTGTGTAACTGCCTTGAGGATGCTTGACGATTTCCACAACGTGGTGCGATCATCCGCCGTGCGCGGAGTGAGGGTTTTCCACCCCGCACGACATGATCTACTTGACCATCATTATGGTTACCGCCAAAAAAAACCCCGGTAACCTGGTTGCCGAGTTCACGAAGTGAATTGGCTTGCTTTTACAACGTCGTTGCCAAGCGACGAAAACCCAAGCCCGATGGCGGGGGGGGGGGGGGGGGGGGGGGTTGACGAGAGACTGATTCTGCGGGAGTGAGTGTAGGAGTTGCCCCGGGCGTCGTGTTAGCTCTGTCAGATGGCTGGGCGCTGCGCTGTCAACCATTCGCACAATCGCTCTGCTTTTTGCTCTCGAGAAATTACTTCTTTCGAAGCTGACAGGCACAACAATGTCAGATGATGCGACCAGTCGTATTGCCCGTACTGCCTATCCCCCGGTTGTTGCCCGCGAGGGGAGCAGCAGGAATATGGGATCTACGGTTGAGTTTTTGCGCTTGGATGTTTTAACGATGCACGTGGATCATGGTCCAAAGAGAGAGGTTGTTGGAGGTTGATGCATTGGTTGGTTGATCACGGCGAAACAAGCTGTGATGTGGTGTTGCCCCTCGTTGATCTCTTGGAGGAGAATGTCTCGGTTGCCGTGTTGAGGCCTCGACTCGTTCTGGACCGCGGGGCAATTATAGTGGGCACCCCGCAATCAGAAAGATGGCCCGAATTTCCGAACCCTGTGGCGTAATAGCGGCAGAGCAGAGGCAAACAGATCGTTGTCCAAGCCACATACCAAGCAGTGCTAGAACGCCGTCTGCTGACACCGTTGTACTCTCCACCCGTGTTACTTTTGCTGCGCCCGCGTTCCCCCTCCAAATCGTCGTTTGATCGTGTATGTATTGTGGGCGACCATGGTGGCGCGTGGTTGGTGATTGGTTCCGGCTCCGCTTGGCGCACAGTCTCGGCCCCTCAGAGCGGGGTCACGGTCTACTCGGCGTTCACAAGCTTCGCACACCTAGCGGCCGGGATGGCGTGCGGGTTGAGGTGCGTCGAATAAGCACAACGCCAGAATGATGATTTGGGTGCTGCGAGAATATAGTGAGGTGTGTCGAAGAAAGCACCCAGCCAGAATATGAGTGGAGTGCATTAAGAATATTTTGAGGTGTTCAAATAAAGAACCTAGCCAAATGATGAGTTGAGTGCATTTAATAATATATTGAAGTGCGGCGAAATAGGCACCTACAGTCAGAGTGGCGAATGAGGTGCGATATCAAAACCCAGCCCGCTGCGTGGTTTCTCTCTAGGAAGAAAAGCGAACAGGCGGCGGTGTTTCACCTCATGGTCCGCGTTGGCAGCCTGTGTCACGCAAGAGGTCTTGAATCATGTGCCGGTTCAGCATGCTTGCAGGAGCCGCTGGTTCCCAGTATGTTTGCGTTAGCCGTGTTGGGTGGACGGCTGACATGCCGTTGAAGCATGGCAAAGGAATGAAGGGCACCTTGGTATGGCAAAGGAATGAAGGGCACCTTGGTATGGCAAAGAAATGAAGGGCACCTTGGCGGCAAGCCGCGCGATGCAATGTATGTAGTCGGTCGATCGTAGAACAATACAGCGGTTCATGCCAGTGTTTGACGATGCCGCTTTTAATTAACTAATCGTGGCGTTCGTTCACCCCACCTTCCCCTCCGGGTTTTCTGAAATGACATCGGGACATACAGCGGGCTCGCGGCGGGCATGGCGATCGGGATCGTGGGTGACGCGGGCGTGAGGGCTGTCGGACAGCAAGAGAAGCTCTTCGTGGGCATGATCCTCATCCTTATCTTCGCGGAAGCCCTGGGCCTCTACGGGCTTATCGTTGCGCTCATCCTCTCCCAGCAAACGTACTCGTGCGACTAGACCAGCGATCGATTGGCAGATAGATGTAAGACAAGGAGCCAACTATCCGGCTAAATCTTCTCCGCCGGAGGGAGAGAACTCTTGGTGTTACACCACGTGTAGGTTGTATGACTGGATATCGTGGCTCTGGTGTTTGTTCGCTTCTTTGCGAAGCGATTGGCAGCTTTCTTTTTTTTTGTGTGTTCTTGGCGCCGTTTGCGGGGGTGCGAGAAACAGGTGGGTGTATCGGGTAGGTGGGGGGTCATTTCGGCCGAGGGGGGCCGTGTTGTCGGCGACGTTCTTCTTGTTCGAAGGCATCAATGCGAATTGGGGGCACACCTTCTGTGTAAGTAATTGCTGAGGTTGGGGCATTTTTGTCAGCAACACCTCCAATCCACGCCGGAAAAAAAAATGGTGTTGTGTGTGCACCGGGAGAAGCTTGCAGTACTGTAGGCTCCCAGGATTGCCGGTTTTATAACGCAGATTGCCGTTTTTTAGTACTGGGAGTACTTCTTTTGCTCCAGCCGGGGCTACCGGTGCAGCACTGCATGCAGTTCTGTCACGTGCGCGGAATTTCCGTGCTGGAAGGTTGTCGTCCAACCAGGCCACCTTCGCCCCCCGGACGAGAATACGTGACGGGGTCGAGAACATGGTTTGACATTATCAGCGCGTGTCGTTGTTTGCTTCGCTCGCGCTATGCCCGTATTTCGCACCCGAACAATAACGAAACATCCTTTGTCATCCTGGTTTGCCGCCTGTAAGCCGCATGTGTAATGGGGTGCGGTGCCGCAACAGCTGAAATACGTTTTGGTGTTGTGTGCCGCCGCCTATGAGTTGTTTTCTGAAACCGCTTGTTTGAGTTTTCCGTCTCTCCTAATTGGTGTTGCACGTTCAACGGCAGCAGTACACGAACATACTCCTTCTACAGGAGTGGTTGTTCATGCCGGGCTTCACAGGGTCTAATTTAGGGGCTCGGAATTGGAATATCCTCGACAACGCGGCACGGTGTTTTAATTTTTCACTCGAGTAGTCCGCACTCTTCAGCTTTATTGTCGTGGCGATATGTTTCACACGCTTGGGCGGGAGTTGGGTTTTTACTGAGATACACGGCTCCCACAACAACGAAAACGAGACACTTATTTTGACCCCATACAGCAACCCTGGCGGGGGGGAGTTGTATTTCGGCGTTCTCGAAAGCTCCGACGCCCTCTTATCTGACCCGCCCTTACCACGCACAGAAAATTCGGCGTTCTTGCGAAATTTCTGAAATGTAAGAAAAAGAGCGAACGACGCCTGCTGATTGGATGGTGCAGACAGTTCCATCCCTGGGTGCAAGTGCAAAGCTGCCTTCCCACTTGAGCCGTCTCTTGTCTATAATCCCTATCAAATGTCCCCTCGTTACGAGGGGACATACGAGGGGACATTTGATAGGGATTATAGACAGCAACTGGCGGGAGCGTGGTAAACGGGGCACGAAAAGGAGGTTTTCAAGATATTTCTCTAGAGGGAAAGCGAGACCTTCTAACTCAAGCCCTAGGTTGCTCGGTGCCTTCTATCAACGGTGGTCTAGGTACTTCTTCCGCGCTTGCCCCTAGTAGCGCTTTTCACCCAAGGGTAGACAGACGCGGCGCAACTTCGCTGTTGAACCGGCAGCGCAATCGCCCCGCAATTCGACCTGTTCATTACCCTCATACTCCTCCACTCTACAAAGCATTCATACTAGACTAGAGTCGTCCCTGTGTACCCCGGCACCCCCCTGGTCGAGTAGTGCAAAGGAGGAGACAATTATGCTATTCTTCGCGAGGTAAAGCAGGCGAAGAAGATGGGGACAAAAGTGTCCCCAAAAGGCGATCCAGCCCTAAAGGGGGTCGAGGGGTTTCAGCTTCTGTTGCGGCCGAAACAAATCGGCTAGACTCTTTTGGGGCCTCTGTTTGCTTAATTTTTGATTTTTTCAGCGGACCTTCCTCTCCAAAATCAAGTCGTGCCCCCATACAATTCGTATTGTCTACGAAGAAACGCGTCCATGCCGGGTCCCTCTACGTTGCAACAGGATATTTCCGCCTCATGCATTTGTCGGCGCTTTTTTTTCGTACGCCGCTGTCTTCGTCTCTCTCGTCCCCCCCCCCCCGGTAACGACGACCACGCCTTCATGGCTTCCCCCTCCCGTATGTTAGTACCTACGCTCGAATCTCGTCCGGGCGGCTGTGTGCACACTCCGGTATCGTTTGCCCGCCTTGAACTTTCCCCCCGAATGCCTTCGAACGCTTAGAGAACCAGGTGCGATACCGTCTGGTATCCGAAGGCCTACCCGTTCCACGGCCTATCAACATATCGACTGTGGACACATGAGTCATCCTACCCTACGCGGACCGAGCCCACAACCTCGTACGGATGGCGTCTACGGTAGACCCTAGAATTTCATGACTGGCGACAGTGATACTCGCAGCTCGGCCGACATTACCAAAGTAGTCAACGTCTATTGGTGCACCCCGCCGCCAGCCCGAGGGGTGAAACAATGGGGCCCGCATAGACTTCAACGAAGGTCACCGGCCTGCGCGCATCTAATGGTGGATCACATCCGGTATGAGCTGGAGATACTTCGAGCTTCTCAAGTGACAAGGGTGAAGCAAAAGCACGACGAAGCTCCTGCTGCTGGAGATCAGTTGCAACAAGTTCTCAAGTACCACGCGAGTGAGGAGTGGGTGAATTATCGAGGTGCAACTCAGTGTCTAACTCTACGAAAATCGGCTTACGTGCTCTACACATCCCAAGACGAAAACTGAGGATCATGACCACTGCGAGCAAATACTTTGGATGAATAAATACCTTACATGGTAGTTCGCCAGAGTGACAACAAAACTTCCGCATGGTATTAATCACACGGTTACCGGCTTTGAAGAACGTGGCGAATGCTCAGACAAGGCTACAGATTGCGAAGACAGCCAAGACTACTCCGGAAAAACAAATCTACGTCAAGCAGTAGATTTTCGTTGATCTCGGCAAATGAGATTCGATTTCGTGATAGCCGGGGGAGGTGCGCCTCCCAGGCTATTACACGTGTTCCCAGAAGCACAACAAGCACCAATTACACGTGTTCCCAGAAGCACAACAAGCACCAATCAATCAATGTTGTCGAACATCAGGCAATGCATGCAAACTTTCAAGAATAGTATGGCCTCCGAGTGCCAAGCAAACGGCGACTGTTCCCGAACCAAAAAAGAAGTCGAAACGATACCTGATGAAATCGGCAAATGGCATTCGATTTCGTGATCTCGAGCGGAGATATACCTTTCCGGAAGAACCACCCACAGAAGGCCAACGAGAACCAACAAAGCCATTACTACTGCCGAACAAGCAGTCAATCAATATTGTCGAACATACAGACTTTCAAGAATAGTATGGCCTGCGAGTGCCAAGCAAACGGCGACTGTTCCCCGACCAAAAATGACGTCGAAATCGATTGTAAAGTAGCGCCACTGAGCTTTACATCCAATAAGTAGGAAGGGATAACCTAGGTTGTTCTGCTTTAGTCGTTATTTACTTCACGCGTAAGCGACCTCTGGTGTGCACCACGCACGGAAGGGCCCTTGTTGCAGCACACCACTCACCCATTAAATCTTGAGAATGTCTTCGCTCCTTTGGGGGCTCGGCTCCATCCAAACTGCGTGAGTTCTTCGCCAAATTTCCCTGAGTAATCTCGGAACGAAATCAGGAAGAGTCAGATATTCCAGAAAGGATGTTGGAAAACGACCCCACCTAGTTTAGTCCCCCTTTTCTCTCCCGAAATTTGCCGGAGCAGAGAATAAGGGGTATATTTGAGACCATCCCACCCGCCCTACACAATGCTTACTATATTCATGAACTTACTGATCATTCAAACACTTTGGGCCTGGGCACACCCAGCCCAAAGGGTTACTTGTGGCGAGGCCCTCCTGCAGGCGCAGGAGGCCTCACCCAACCAAATCCAATATTTACATCGAATGATCTGGGTAAGGGATAAGAATACAACAGAAAACGGTGTTGTTGTAATTGCGACGCTACCGTCGGTCTCCGGGCTTCCGTGATTCCAACCGAGGACGAAGTGGCGATGGAGGAGCCAAGGCCGCTACATGATGAGAACAACTGAATTTTTTCACGTCTAACCAAGCTGCCATCGAGGATGCACTCGCGGTACGCACCCGCCACATCGGGCGAACCACTAGCACAAAAAATACCTGCAGGTTGGCCAGAACCCCCCCAGGCAAGGCGCAGATCATCGTGAGAGCCACCAAGAGAATCGACGACCTGCCGCCGGGCGTAGCGGTGTGGCGATATTCCGGAGCGGTCTCTCCAATATTGTTCATGTGAGGCTTCGCCTGAAAACACAAGGTACAGTACCAGGCGATGGGGACCCAGTTGGAACTACAAGCAACTGCGTGTTCTTTCGCACTGAGCGTTCAATGTTGGCGGAAGTCTCCTGCAGGTGTCCATGAAATAGACGAAAGAGTGGGACGAAACGTTTTGGTTAGAAAAATCCCGCCCATCTCCGTCGGGCCATCATCTCGCCATCCGCCGATCTTTTGTTTCGCCGGATATGTATTAAGTAGTTGGACGAGAAAGGGAAACCAAAAGTTGTTCACTCCTTGTTGCGGTGTTTCTCGTGTGTGTACGTGACTCCCACAAGCAGTATGTCGTCAAGCAGTACGATATTCTATTTCGAACGCACACTTCTCCCTCGTGGCATTTCTCGTTTCCGTAGAGAGCGGCAAATGAAGCGTGAATAATAGCCTGTACGGCAGTAGTTGTAGCCGGAATCGTCATTTCATAGTTTTGGATAGGACCCCGAGGCTATACGAGGCTATACTACGTAAGGGCATAGGTGATATCCTGGCCACGTTTGCCGATTAGTCCTGGCGATGCTTGGTCAACGAGACGATAGGGAGTAGTGTGGACAGTCCAGGGTTCCCATGTACGTACATACACAATAGTGTCGCATTAGAGCTTGCGGCTCTCAAGCCACGCACCGGGGACTGACCTTTCCGATCCCGCGCTCGCGCTCGACCTTGACCCGTTCCTGGTCCGGTGGTACTTGCCTGCGCGCTGGATTTCCTGGTCCACGCGCGTCATCCTTGCGGCTTGGAAACATGGTGCAATTCAACAGGGCGGAGAGGAAGCTTATATTCGATATACTCGTAGCATAGCATGGGGGTGGTATATTGCGTATACATATGCGGGGATTGCAGTGACGAACTACGGAGGGACAAGAAGTTTCTTTGTGTTTTCCTTGGGAGTGTAGTAGATTGGTGGAGATTCATGGAGATTCGTTCTGGGTATTAAAGCGTTATGCGTGACTTGATGCCGTGATGGAATGACGAGCTCAAGCACGCCCCCGATGAATACAACACGTTTTTCACCACGTCTACACGTCTTTACCTACCCGTGCGGCCCGTCATGGCCGAGCTGCTCTACGCTCCCATCACACACAACTGAGCCACCCGAATTATCGATCAGCTTATGGTAGACGTTATTACAGTATGTGCAAGAAATGGCTGACGACGGCCGTGTGGCGATTGCTCGGTAGATCATCACTCGGATCATCGTTCCTCGGTCGATGGAACGATGATTGATGTACATGAGATGGTACGTGGGGGGGAATACGTGGGACCGAACAACAGCACAGTAATCACACCTCGGTACCCCATAGGATTGCAAGCGCGGCGGGACATGTCTTGCGCAATCTACACAATATTGAGACCTGTGGCGTGCTCCTCTACCGCCTCTGGGTAGGGGTGCGCGAGAAGAGGGTGCGGTTAGGACGGCAGGTCGGCAGGTGCATCTCAGCAAGTAAAAGTATCGATTTGCCGATTCAATGGATTTGCGGGACAATCTCCTTCCTTTCATAGTGGTTCACGGTTCACCTGGTTCAGAACCGTATCATCTACGGTACTCCAGTACTCCGGTACATACTCCAGTACACGCAACTGTTCCGATTTCTTCGTGCAGCTCAACTGCACAGAACCTGCTGACAGGAGTCCCTGCGAAATGTACGTAGTATGGCGTGCGGCGGGTGCGTGATGGTGCGCTCCCGTGCCACAGTGTACGGCATTGTGCGTGATGGTCCGGTCTTGACAACGCAGGGTCCGCACATAGCCGTTCGCACCCGTCTTCACTCTCGACGCCGCTATATGCTTCTGCTGGCACCAAGTGCTGCATAATACAAAGGGCACCGGCGAGAAGGGCGCTGCTGCCAACAAGACATTCTGCTATACGAGGATTCTGAGGTGGCTGAGGTTGTTGGATGCTCTGGGACTGGGACACGTGAAGCTGGGGGCGTGGCCGACAGACATTCTGCTATACGAGGATTCTGAGGTGGCTGAGGTTGTTGGATGCTCTGGGAAGGAAACAACTTTCTCACATTATTTCTTCTCGAACAGAAGGACTTTAAGTCGAGGTCCCATCGAGACTCGAACGGGCCAGAAGACTTACATGACAGCCGACCTCAACAACAGCTTTCGTTAATTACCGTATTTGTGTACAGTTCGTTCATGGAAGCTGGTAGGAGGTGGAATACTACCTTCCATGGCCTCAGTCCGAATACCACATTACCAGATATTCCTTCGGGGCAACTTCCGTGGAATCTCAACGGTGCCAACGCCCTGCCATGGAATCTGAACGGAAACATACTACGAACACTTCCTCCATGGAAGCTTCCATTACAGTATTCACCCTTACTTAACCCCCTTACCACGCACAGAAAAATCGGCGGTCTTGCGAAATTTCTGAAATGTAAGAAAAAGAGCGAACGACGCCTGCTGATTGGATGGTGCAGACAGTTCCATCCCTGGGTGCAAGTGCAAAGCTGCCTTCCCACTTGAGCCGTCTCTTGTCTATAATCCCTATCAATTGTCCCCTCGATACGAGGGGACACGAGGGGACAATTGATAGGGATTATAGACAGCAACTGGCGGAAGCGTGGTAAACGGGGCACGAAAAGGAGGTTTTCAAGACATTTCTCTAGAGGGAAAGCGAGACCTTCTAACTCAAGCCCTAGGTTGCTTGGTGCCTCCTATCAACGGTGGTCTAGGTACTTCTTCCGCGCTTGCCCCTGGTAGTGCTTTCCACCCAAGGGTAAACAGACGCGGCGCAACTTCGCTGTTGAACCGGCAGCGCAATCGCCCCGCAATTCGACCTGTTCATTACCCTCATACCTCATACTCCTCCACTCTACAAAGCATCCATACTAGACTAGAGTCGTCCCTGTGTACCCTGGCACCCCCCTGGTCGAGTAGTGCAAAGGAGGAGACAATCATGACAATCTTCGCGAGGTAAAGCAGGCGAAGAAGATGGGGACAAAAAGTGTCCCCAAAAGGCGATCCAGCCCTAAAGGGGTTAATTCCATCGAAGTAGGGAGAGGACGGAGGACTTCCATGGAAGCGGTCCGGATACATACGTTCCATGAAAGGCGTTCGGGGTTACTTCCATGGAAACTACCCGAGCTAAGAACACTTCCATGGAAGCTCTCTTGCATCGCTTCCATGGACGGGCTCGTCGTTTAATTCATCAAGTCCCATATCGCTCCCATGGAAGCTGTCGACAGCTTCCATAGAACTTATCTCAACATCTGTACAGTAGCTTCCATGGACTCCCGTGTATGGACTTCCTTCCATAGAGGCTGGACCTGGCCTAGGTACGTCCATGGGAAGCTGCATTGTACTTGTTTCATATAGCTTCCTCGGAAGCCATCGGTTCGACTTCCATGCAATCTGAAGTCAGCCTTCTATGGAAGTGGGCAATCCATGTGTGGTAGATTTTGTTCCATGGAAGTGACAATAATAGCTTCCATGGAAGTCTCGTTTTCAGCTTCCATGGAAGTAAGAATTTCCAGTTTCCATGGAAGTGGAGGAATCTTCCTTGGAAGCTGTATACATTTTGTCCTATTGTGTGGGAGATCGGTGAGCGGCCATGTGCGACCATGCGTGCTGTTTCTCTCTCGTCTTTACTGGTTTACCGTCTTGCTGTCCTCATCGCTCTGTTTGGAATAATATTCGAATCTTGTCATGGTCAGCTTGTGTGGCAGAAATCAATAGGCAGATGCCAACCTACCGTACGGCGCACGTTTCGCAATATCTTGAGGGTGCACCCGTTAGCAAAGTTTCGTCGAATTCCACGTGCAGTAACATACGGGCCATATGCGACCATGCGCGCTGCTTGGTCTCTCGTCTTCACCTTCACCGGTTCGCCGTGTTTCTGTCTTCGTCGCTCTTCATCGCTCTTTTGTCCTCGAGAAATTTGGGAAAAATCGAATGTCAGATTGAGTCTGGTTGACAGCACCGAACAGACCGATATCTCCCTACGGCGCACGCGTCGCGATATCTTGAGGATGCCTCGGTCGGCATCGTAATTCGTGACCCCCCGACAAGTTTCATCACTCTCCGAGCGCAGTACAGCATACGCCACAAAAGTGTGCGACCATGTGCGTGTTTCTCTCCTCTTCACCTGTCTGTTCGGTCTTCTTCCTGTCGCAACGTTCTTGTTTCTTGTCCACCCATTTAAGATAATGTAACATAGAATTTCAGTGTCCGCTTCAGCAACCAACGGCATCATGTCCATTCATTGTAGTGGTGGTTTTGTCCATGAAAGTGTGTGTGGGCCGAGTGAGTTGTCAACGCGACCTATTTCCAACAAGTCCCGATACAACGAAAGCGCGAACCGTGCGCCGATGTGCCAGCATTCTGCATAGGCCAGCGGTGCGCGACCTTGTAGATTTTCGGTAAGAAATGAATCTCAAGGATCCTTGCAGCGTCATCGTTCTACATCATCAGCAGATATATTTCCGGTGCACACACGTAAACAAAATACAGCACGGGCAATGCTGCAGAGATCGGATATCCACTCGCATTCATTCCATGTCCCACCCACAAACTTTTCCGGTGTAGACTACATGCGTAAACCAATTACAGCATGAGCAATGCTGCAGAGATCGGATGATATTCATTCGGATTCATTCCACGTGTCTCACACACAATAGGAACACTCGTGGGTAACTCTGTTGAACCAATACACTGTCACCACGTGGGGGTGTGGTACCTTGTGCAACCAACGGTCAACAGCCGGTATTCAAAAGATTCAAATTGTTACAGGTGGGTGTCATGCACGACACTGCAGCGGCAGCCAGAGCAGCTCCCCAGCATCTCAAGAACGAAGGGTCTCGCTTGCTAATGCATTCCCGATGCATCTTGTTGTTGTGTACATTCATTTCATCGTGCGAAGTATCGATTGCTCACGGGTAAAGATGGTCTGATTTGAGCCGGGGGTCTCAATTACTGCGTAATTCCCCCATCGCAATCGGTGATCTGCTCACCCAGGGTTCAACACACATCAAACCGCCATCCAACTCTTCTTCCAACAGCTTCTTCCTTGCATTGTTTCCCCTTTTACCACCCCAAATATTTTTGCCAGGTAAATAAAACAGTGTTCACACATTGATAGTCATTTCTAAAATATCCCTCTGCATGCCGCAATTCCTAGTCAGCCGCAGGTATGATCTACATGTGGCAATACACAGCAGCAATAGGTAACGAAGTCCGCCCCTTCATAGCTTCCGCCTCCCGTGTGTTTTGGTGCCTAAACTCGAAGCTCGTCCTCACGCCGTGTGTATCGTTGGTGTCCCTTGTACGTTCCCCCCGTATGCCTTCAAACGCTAAGAAAATCAGGTGTGATACCGTCTGGTGTCCAAAGGCCTACCCTTTCCACGACCATTCAACACATCGAGCGTGGACACATACACGAGTCGTCCTACCCTTCACGGACCAAGCCCACAGCTCAGCACGCGCATTGCATCTACGACAGACCCTAGCCGTAATCCCACAAAAACAAGACTGGCGATAGTGGCAGTCGCAGCTCGACCGACCCCACCCAAACTTGTCAACACCTAGAATATTGGTGAACTCCGCCGCCAGCGCAACGGGTGATACGATGGGGCCCAGATAGACTTCAACGCAGGTTGCCGACCTACGTGTGCAACGAGTGGTGAATCCCATCCGGTTTGAGTTGGAGATACTTCGAGGTTCGCAGGCAAGAAGGGTAAAACAAGAGGACAAGAAGCTACTACTGTTGATCAGTTGCGAGTTCTCCAGTACTGCGGCAAGTACGGAGTGGGTGGACGAGTCACCTTTCGCGGGTGCAACCCAGGCAAAGAGGTGTCCAACCCTACATACACCAGTTTAATGCTCTTTCATCCGAAGACGAAAAAAGAGGGTGATGACCACCGTGAGCAAGAAATCGAAAGCACGGGGCGAAAAAACTCCAGCTCATCTACGTCTAGCCATCACTTCACCCGTCCCCCGATCGGTTGTTGGAGCGGGACACAAACGTGGTCTGCAGTGGATTGCGCGAGGATTTGGGAAAACAAACCTTGTTGTTCCCTCCTTCTTGCGGATTTTCTCATGTGTATGTTCCTGCCGCAGCAGTGCGAGACACCGTTTTGTTTCGAACGCACACTCGTTCACCTCGGGGCAATCTCAAGGTGATAGGCTCTCTATTCCGTGACTGCGCTATATGAAGCCTGGAATACTACTGCAGCCTAATGTAGTTGTCGCGGGACTCGTCATTTCGGATCGAGAGTACGCGGAGGCTATACGAGGCCATACTGCAGAAGGATATACATCCCGGCCATGTTTGCCATCTGCTCTGCCGATTCTTCCCCAACGCGAAGATGTGAAGTATAGTTAATACCACATATAAAAACTTCTCGTTCTTCTCCTGCACCAACCACCATTTCATTCAGTCTTACTGTTCTCTGCAAGATTTTGCTGCACCCAAGGGCCCTTTGAACATCACAAACAAATAAACTCGGAATACGGGCTACCTAACGCTACGTTTACATATCCTGGCTAACAACGTGCCTCTTGTCATCCGAAGACGAAAAATAGGAATACGACGACCGCCGTGAACAACTGCTCTAGGCGGAAATATGTTTGCGCGTCATGCTTCACCGGAGCACCGACAAAAAATACCACAAGGCGGCAATTAACCTTTCTTTACAGACCTCCTACTCCCCACAGAACACACCCACAAAAGGCAACGGCAACCGAGAGTTGCACAACACAAAACAAAAGGTTAGATATCTCCGACAAGTCCAATTCAGCGGGACCGGACTCGTCTGGCTCCCTCGGATTCCCCAGCGCCCCCTCCGTTTGTCGAGGAACACCGTTGGGGGTAGTGATGGAGCCCCTCGTTTGTGTGCCAGCAGGCCAAGTCGCTGGTTGAGGGAGATCTGCTTCCTGTGTGGCGGCCCCTTCTTCGATTATAACTTTTGCAGCTTGTGATGATGTGTCCTGAATGAGAAAGAGGCGGGTAGACGACGGAGCAGCGAAGACGGCGGGAACGGCGCCGAAACCACTCATTACAACGTGCTTGTCGGGAGTATCCCGTGAACGCGATCATCGTATCTTGTCTCAACACCCGCCCCCTCTCCACGTTCAACAAGGGTACCGTGATATTCTGGGCAAAGATAGCCAGACCGACCTGCGCCTCCTCGGGGGTTTCCGTGCAAATCTCCTAGCGCTCCATTTGCAACTCCATGGGGGCGTCAAGCAATCTTGTTCAAACGTTGTGCTTCACGAAAGCGTGACAAACACTTCCACACGGTAGCAAACACACGTCTACCGACTTTCAAGAACGCCACGACTGCCCAAACACCAAGGCCACAGATTGCAAGGAGAACCGAGAGTGCCGAATACCCAAGGATAGTAGATGCTAATCACCGGCATATCGGATTCGATTTCGGGATCGCTTGTGGAGGGGGGACTCGTCGGCTCCTCTGTCTTCCCTAGAGATTGGCTGTTTCGCGAAGATCCATCATCGGACATTGTGGTGGAGCCACTCGTTTGTGTGCCGGTAGACTGAGTAACTCGTTTATCCGGAACCTGGGGGCGATCTGTTCCCTTGGCGCCGGGGTCCTTTCCGATTGTCGCAGCTTTTCTACCTGATGGTGCTTCCCGCTGTTGATACGAGGCGGGTGGATGACGGAGGAATGGTGAAGATGGGAACAACGCGGAAATCACTCCTTTTCGTTCTTGTTGGGAGTATCCGGCGAACGTGACCATCGTATCTTGTCTCAGGAACCCCCCTCTCCGTGTTCAACAAGCGTACCATGATATTCTGAGCAAAGATGGCCAGACCGACCTGGGCCTCCTCGGAAGGTCCAAATCTTGCGGTTGTCCATCAGCACCTTCATAAGGACGTCCAGGGTTTCCTCCTCGGAGTCCACCGTCGTCACGATGCGGTCCGATCCTTCGACCTGTCAAGAGTTCCACCGAAAAAAGGGTTTCAACGCCGTTTACAGCTGTGTAGAGTATATTAGGTCGGAAGCTGGCACAAACACTACGATACGCGCTGATGAGCGCCAAGCACCACAAGACAGGAATGTTTATCCATCATTGGCTTGCAACGTCAACTTCTCGCGAAGTTATCCTCTGGTGTGTGCCACGCATGGAAAGGCCCTTGAAGCAGCACACGACCTCACCTGCTGAATCTTGAGAATCAATTCGCGCCAATCAGCCAGTCCCGTGGAAGGCTCGTTTCCGTTCACCTGAGAAAATGGTAAGTTGTGAATACAACGACATCGTCGGGTCTTCAGACTTTCATGATTCCAACCGATTTCAATGTCGCGATGGAGGAGCCTAATGCCACTTCGACCATTGTATCATGTCACTTTTTAACTGGATGGATAAACGAAACAAAATCTAGGATGCACTCAAGGCTTGCAAACGGGTGGATCGCTAGCACCGCATGTACCTGAGTGGCTGCCAGAATCACCGCCACAAATGCGAAAATCACCGCCAGCACCACTAAGATAGTCGACGGCTTGCCGGAGGCAATGGCAAGGCGATACTCCCGATTTTTTTCTCCAACTCGTGTCACCAGAGGCTTCGCCTGTACGATCGTGATGCATTGTCAGGAGGCATGGAACCAGTGGGGTGGACAAGTACAGCGACACCGACACGCTATAGTTCCGACGTAATCAGTGTCCAGTGCGTTGATAGTGGTACACCGTACGGTAGAAACGTCGACTCCCCTGGTTCACACGTTGCAATAGCTTTGTTCCACACGTCATTGGACCTAGAAAGTATTTCCAACAGGTGTGACCCATGCTTCAAACAAATCACCCACAACATGTGGTGGTGATCATTCATGCCCAAATGATTTTTTCGATACAACAACTCTCCAAGGGCTGCCGCAACACACAAGAATCCGAGGAAGTCGACCTTGTTCGAACCTCTTGCTTTTTGAAGGCTTCATAGCGCTTCCTCATCTTGTCCTTCATGTCCTGGAATCCCACCTCCAGAAGGAGGCATTGAAGGTAAGTATTGTCGCTGTGCTCCGGTCTCATGACGTGACACTCACCCCATGGATATCTGTGAGACCAGGGGCATTGGTGCGACAGGAAATGAGATCAAGGGTGGGACTTTGGTTAGTTTCGAGGGCTTCGGGTGGAGAGGATTGGTTCCAGCCCGTGACCCACCCGACGCAAAACATTTGGAATCGGCGCACTGTAGACTGAACGCCAAAAGTCGATTTTTGTTTGCATAGGCCAGACACGCACGGGCTCGAACACAGCAATACCACCTGCGTACTGGATCGTGAGCGTGAGCGTTTCCGTTGGGGTCGTCGACCTGGCTTGAGATCACCGCGTACGGCGGTGGCCGCCTCTCTCCCAGCCAGATGGGTTCATCGGCAATGTTCAGGGCTGCCAAGCACTTTTCCCATGCCCTCTCTGCCCGACAGTATCATTTAGCAACGGAAACCGGGATTAAATGTGACTCTGCTGTTAGCCAGTTATCCAGTGCCATGTACGGAAAAACAGGAAACCTACAACAACGTGTAAGCACCTAATCCCTAGCCTCCGAAGGGGGCTGGAGAACTGGCTCGTGGTGTCACCAGGGAAGCCGCAATGCGTCCGAAACACCACCCACCCGAAAAGGTGAAGAACTCGAGGCCGTTAGCTTTGGCGGCTGAGTCGGCGATGGCCTTTTTGAAGTCAAACATCTCGTCCACCGTCATACTGTCGGACTTCCCTATCACGGGGGGAATCATAGCAACAACCTGCCCAAAACGGGGATGAGCAAAAGACGGGGAAGAGCTGAACCAACCGTCTCTCGTTGGGTCATGAACACCGACCGTAGCAAAAGGTCAAGCCTTTCCCAACAAATGTCGCCAACCAGATAGGCCCAGGACCGGCTATCAGGCGACGGCAGTACACTGCGCACAACCCGAGGTCGTGACTAGCTATCCAGCCTTAAGATCTTACTTTTGTGTTGGCGGTGGTTCGGCAATCGTGTCGCACAAGAGTGGAACTGTCAATCTTCTGTCCCGCACCTTGGACAGCTGCTTCATGTATTCGATGTCGATGGACTTGCACCGATGGGCTGCGATAAAATGTATGCTGTATGTCCGGCGGAACACGATCGGGGCAAACGTTGAGTCAGAGACGCTCGTGGGGCATGCGACCGCTTGGTTGCAGCTCAGGCGAAAACGTCACTAATGCGGATGTTGTTTCAGATCAATGAATGAATCTACTGAACATTATATCATCAATCATACATTACACCTACTTTCACCAATTTGCATCGTACAGTGGTTCGCATGCTGACCAGCTCAGTTGGTGGAGGGACCGAATGTACATTGATCTCAACTCACCACACATCCGTCCTGCCGTCCTCCGACGGAGTGTCGTTGCCCCTTTTTATCTCAGCCAGATACCTCCTGCTCCCTCTGATAATGAAATCGACCACTGGTTGAAAACTTTTGCGGACATTAACGTGGTCGCCATATCCGGGTGTGTCCTGCCAAGATGTACAGTACATACATAGTTCGAGACGTCTTAGTTGCAGGGAGGCCATCGAGATGGCGCACTATTGTACGTCCCACAAAGGAGGGTCTTCGGTAGTGGGTATCGTCGGACATCGACACCCGCGACAGAAGCACGTAGGACGTCGTTCTATGGCAGGAGGACTTGCTTGACTACATGTCCTCGTGGTAAATGAATGTCCGTGGTTGCCAAGCCGCAACATCGACAAAAATCGATAGATGTCAGTGTGATACGCGGCTTTGACAACCGCACCACCAAAAAGAACTTGTAGTACTGGCCGCCGGATGTCGTGTGGTCAAATTCGCGTTCTTCGATCTTGAGCGTTTTGCTGTGGCCGAAAATGCCTCCTGTTTGCCCATGCACGACAGAACCCTGGTCCATGGGGTTTTGCCCTTGGTTGAGATGCCGGAATATGTTGTTCAGGAATGTCGTCTGGACGTACGAAAAACAGTACCGGTCAAAGCAAAGGTTTGGTGGCACGGGGGGAGTCGTCACAACGGTTTGGTGGCAAGGGGGGAGTGGTCGTTACATGTTCTTTAGCACTGAAACTATTCCTACACAACGCGGTCATTTGAATTGAAGCGAAAGAGCCGCAAAGTATTTACGCCCTATCTTCGCCGAGCCACCTATCCCTCGATGAGTTGTTGCGAGACACGCATTCCGCAGTTTCTCGCAAGTGGGAAACAAGAACTTTTGTTTCATGTGTACGTGCTGAATACGTGCCTGCCACAGGCAGCGAGACATTCGTTGTTTTCGAACTTACACTCACCCTTCGGGGCAATATTCTACTCGCGTAGAAATCGCATCGCACTTTACTCCACTCATTTTCAAGAAGTTGCAGCGGCCCCTTATTTCGGATCTGCCGGACCCCGAGGCTACTTGTATGTATGCACTATAATAGACAAGCATCCATCATTTGCCACCTCAGTTGCTGGCGACCTTCGTCAATGAGAGGGATACAAACCAAATGTTGTGGGTCAAGTTTCCACGCACACAGACATACAAACCTCACATCCATCCGCCGGGGACTGACCTTTCCGAGCCCACTCTCGCCCGCGACCATGACCCGTAGTTGGTTCGGTGCTTGCCTGCGTACTGGATCTCCAGGTCTGCGCGGGCCATTTTGGCGGCTTGGAGAAACAAAAGAACCATCGAATGCGGCGACTGGGAAGTTCATGCTCGTCAGCAGAATGTACACAAGCTACTCGAGCTACAGCTGCAGGCAGCTGTAGGGGAAATGGCTGAGACTGCGGTGTGGCGATTGCTCGGTGGAACATCTCTGGGATAATCGAAACTTGTCGATTGAAAGATGGATGATGGTGGATCATCGGTAGTGTAGAGTGTGCATTGATTGTACACGTAGAGTGTCGTAGTTTGGGCAAGAGCTTTTGGGGCCAACGGGCCAACCCTTTCGTAGGAATAGTCCGCTGATGATGTTGATGTACAGGCAGTGCAGCAGTTTTAACAACAGTGCGGTAGTTGTACCTGTCAGACGTATCGACCCGTAAGATGATTGCGCCCCATACACACAGTTGCGCCGCAAGAAGAGCCGGCGTGATGTGTCGGTTGGCGGTTGGCGTTTGTGTGTTCTACCCGCTGTCACCTGCGGTACCCAATACGACGGTCGTATCTGCAGAAGCTTTCTAATAAATGTTCTGTTCAGGGAGGAGCTCTCCACACTCACCTCTTGTCTGCCTATCTTGTCTGTCTGTCTGTCTGTCTGTCTGTCTGTCTGCCTGTCTGCCTGTCTGTCTGTCTGTCTGTCTCTGTCTCTGTCTCTGTCTCTCTCTCCCTCGCGCGCGCGTCCTTCTTTTCCAGCTCTGCTTCTAGACGGCCTCAGCGTAATGGATATTTTCTTGTTGGCCGCAAGCACCCCAGCCCGATCAACATCGTCAAAAATATGTAGTCATTTCCGTAACTTCACCATCCTGTGCGCTCACTCGGTTGTACTGACTACCGATGTTCGCATTTGCGACCACGTTGTCGGAATGTGCAACACAGCAATCCCATGATAGTTCATTATTCCAAGATTGGATCGGGTGGCGGTCGTCGCACGTGGTACAAGCAGGTAGACTAGGACGATGTGTGAATAGACGACTGTTCGAGGCCTCGCGTATGGCTCGTGTCCTAGCTGAATGCCGTGATAGAAAAATTAAGAAAAAAAATATATATATCCCGACCAATCATCCGTCTCAATAATCAATGTGGTGCGCACACCAAGCGCGTTCGTCCTCTACCGCAGCCACACTCATTGCAAGGATGCCTCCTAATACAACCATGGCGACTGACTCCGGCATGGACTCCCCCGTTGTGGGCGCCAGTGTACGCGTACCAGGACCTCCACAGAAAAGCCAAGCACCGGACCAGCTACGAGTCATGGTGGCGGGCGAGAGTGGGCTAGGCAAGGCAAGTCCGGAGTCCTTTCGGCATTGGCACTGCTACCGTCCGAGTGAGCGTGAGTTCGCCCTCACATCGCTGTACGCCCGCAGTGAGCAGAACAACCGCGAGTTTGAACTGTTTCGCCGAGATGAACAACTGCATGTCGTATAAGTGTTGCTTCATGGACAGAAGAAGTTGTGCTGAACACACACCTCATGCGTCGGCACTCCCATACGAAAAGCTTAGATACTGGAGCTGGACAGGTTTGATGTACATGCACATGTAGTTAGATATTTTCTCCATCGAGAGCCCCTCTTCAGGCGAACAGGATTTCCTCTCTGATAGGCGAACCGTCTTGTGTATTCGCTGCTACAGGTTTCCCCCCCTTCAATGGCTTGCTTTGGTTCTTGCGAACGCGCGTCTGCTACCTAGTCTAGAGCCATTGATTGCAGCGAAAGTTGCAAATAAGTTTTGCCGACAGAGCTAGACTATTTGTCGAACCGTTCGGAGTCTGTTGCTCATGCGGCTTCGGGTGTCCGCCCTTGTGCACGCATTGAAGGACAACAGGAACTTACCCGAGTCGCGCAGAAGGACATGGTATTCTACTGGTACAGCCACATCTTCGTGAAATTTAGGCCTGTCTTCTCTGAAACTCGTAGGCACCAGCGCGTGACACACTTAATGCATCGTCGCGCCAACCTGGTTCGTGCCTCGCTATTCATTCATCCACCACAAAGACTATCTGTCCAATGCAACAGGTGGACTTCGAAGCCAAAGAAAGCACAACCCTATTTTGCTCATCGCCCCACCGCCGTTCTCTGCGTTGGGGGTATCAACCGCAATGGCCCTCTCCACCCCTTGATGTTTGTTTGCCGACCGATCAACACCACGCCCAGACGACGTTCCTGAACAACATCTTTCGGCATCTCAATCGAGGCGAAAATCCGATGGACCAAGCTGCCACCGTGGTACAGGCCGCAGGCAGAGGCGTTTTCGACAACGGCAAGACGCTCAGTATCGAAGAGCGCGAGTTTGACTATAAAACGGAACGAGGACAGGACTACAAGTTCTTCTTGGTGGTACGGCCTCATGTCTATGAATTGCTCAGGGTTAGGGTTGGTGCGTTTGCGTTCGTTTGGGTTCATGTCCTGTGCTACATTGCACCGGTCGGTATAGGACTGCACGTGCATGACAATCACAGGCATTCATTCACAAGTGTCTCCGCTTACGCCTAACCCCCACTATCCCGAACGTTTCCGATGACGCCCACATGTTCTTACAGTGCTTGTTGGATCTTGGTAACACCCGACCGATTGACGATTCGTGTCCACCCATCGTATCCGTACCTCGCGAGCAATTTATTGCACACGAATGAATGGGTTTCTTACCCCTTATTGGCAGGACACCCCAGGGTACGGCGACCATGTGAATGTCAGCCAAAGCTTCCAACCGGTGGTAGACTACATCATGAACGGGAACAGGAGGTACCTGGCGGAAGTGAGGAAGGGCAACGAGACACCGAAGGAGGACGGCAGGACGGACGTCTGGTGAGAGAACAAGTACTGTAGTACGGTCTGTTCTTACAATACAACACAGCACAAAATTATTCTCGGATTGCGGGTCGCTCCCTCTCATGGCTGCTTCATGTCACAAACGTTCCTCTTTGTGCGTCAAACAAGTGGACGCCCGTAGGAGACAATCCTCGTCTGAAAACGACACACTGCCGCCGAACGTGCATCGTTTCTGACACCTGTAACGTGGTTCGCTACTGCTGGTTGTGTCACGTCTGGTTTGGGTTTGGCCACATTGTTGATTACTAAACGCTCGTTGTTGTTGTGCGATCGCAGCATATACTTCATTGCTGCTCATCGGTGCAAGCCCATCGACATCGAGTACATGAAGCAGCTCACCAAGGTACTGTCGGGACTGCGTGAGGGTATTATATTGATCGATCGCTTCTACCAGGTAGTACAGCCAAAGCCCGTTTGGCGCAGCAGAGTATCCAATGGGCGAGATGTGACCGTCGAGCAGATGAATGTTGTCTGGAATACTGTGCGGCGGTCGCCTCGCGGTCGTCATCACGAGACCTCTACCCTGCATGTACCGACCGTGTAATATCTACGTGATTATGGGGATTGACCTGACGTTGCCGCGGTGGTCTGGTCGTCGCGGGTGGCATCGTATTGTGAAATTGCGTCCACCTCGCTTTCGCAGGCTGTGGCCGTAATCCCCGTGATCGGTAAATCCGACAGCATGACGGTGGACGAGATGAAAGACTTCAAGACGGGCATCGTTGATCTTGCTGCTCAAGACAATGAGCTCGAGTTTTTCCAGTTCTCGGGTGGGTGGATCTAGAAAAGCTTTTGGTCGCAGCCCAGCGGCGACTCAATGTGGTGCCTCCCCACAAGTAGTTCCTGGTTCCTTTTCTTCCATTCGCGTCCTGGACGGCACATAATCGCGCAACGTGCAGAGCTATTGCGATGTTTGATTCCGGCGTTTGCTTTTTATTTCGCTCTGTGCTTCAAGGTACTAACTACTCTTTGCCCGAACCTTTCCTCCGGCCCAATCAGATACGTCATGGAACGAATGCCTCACAACCCTAGGATTCACTGCCACACCCGACTGGCTGGGAGAAAGGCAGCCGCCCCCTTACGCCGTGATCTCGAGCAAGGTGGACGAGCCCCACGGGGGCCTCATCCGCAACCCTGCACGTAGGTAGGTCGTGCGACCGCCGGGCCGTAACCGTTTCGACGAAAAATCATACCTGTGCACTCATTTTTTCTTGTAAATATTTCTGTCATCCCATTTATTCTGGACATCGGCGGTCGGGGTGATTTCTGGACCTATCACCCGGAGTCACACAGACCAGAGGAAGGCCTCAAAGGAGTTTTACTCCCCCTCCCTTCCGCAGTGCTTCCCTGAAGCTTCTTGTCGGGAAAGATGCAGCCGTGTTCGTTTCTCTCGTCGACCATGAAGACGAATTATTGCGGACACACGAAAACAAAGCTCTCCACATTGCTTGTACATCTTGATAGAAACGTCCCAGTTCACGTGACTGCGCCGAGATTCGAACCCACGTACAGAAAGTCAGAGGTTGCGATGTTACCTTCTCAACCAGCAGCAGCCAATCATGTAGACAATTATCCATCCGAATATAGTCTTTTAGGTAGTGCTCGCGGATATTCTCTTGGCACGAGTCATACTACTTGTTTGCACACAAAGCTGCTCAACGTTCACGATCCATACACACACAATGATACGGGATGATAGGTACCCGTGGGGCACCTGCCGTGTCATGGAAACGACGCACAGCGACAACACCTACCTCCAATGTCTTTTGCTGGAGGTGGGCTTCCAGGACATGAAGGACGAGATGAAGGCGCGCTACAAAGCTTTCGTTAAAGAGCAGGTGCATGGATAGAGTAGGAGTAGAAGCTCCCACGTTGGTACCTGGTCAAGGTTGCACTTGACGTGAACCTAATCGCTTATCCAACCGTAGCCGGTTCACTTGACGCTGTCGTAGAAATATGTAAGACATTCCAGACTAAACCCAACGAAGAATAGGAGAGTCCAGGATTACAGAGAGGATGATTGAGGGGAAATGAAACAACGAAGTTACTTCTGATGTGTATTTTTTCCTATTCCTAAAGAAAAACAATGACAAACGAAATGATTCCTTAAGAAGAAGAACGATAGAACGAACAGATACTGTGGGAACAATACATCTCTCTGGGGCAGAAAGACGAACGTACCGAGCGAGATCCGCTCCAGACCAAATGTGTGATCGCCAAACGATGATACGAAATTCTCGCCACCAAACATCGTCGACACTTTGTAGACCAACTCTGACAGTACACGCTTACAGAGATAATGAGACCCTGCCTATGCGCAATTTTTTCCCCACCGTTGTTTTTCTATCACGTGTTGTGGACTCAGCCATGGCAAAACATCCCCATTGGGGCGATAACGTGTAGGACTATCCATGGCATGGCTTCTACATCATCGCCATCGTATTCAATGAAGCGTTTCCGTGTCGCCAGGGAAGGGTGATGGGTTGAATGGACAGTGGGTGAGATATTGATATCCCTTTCTCATGTCCAGAATTTCGTGTTCTTGCATTTTTGCCAGACAAGGCCTATAACGGAGGTTACCGTCGGCGTTATCAAGAGCCTTCCTCGGCGGGCCTCGTACGCCGCTCTCAACGTTGTTCACGAGGCTGAGGGTCGCCGTCCCAAGTCCGTTCTGGCCCTGACGATGGCGGCGGTCTGCGCCATGGTCGCGGTGATGCTGGCGTACCTTCTTTGCGGGGTGAGACGCTGTGATTCACTTCTTCTCCAATATGTTCCCGATACCAATCCCGTTGTCTATGGATACTAAGAGAATCCTGGTCCCCAAACAAATGGTAGCAGGGTATTTCTCGCGGGACAGACACTTCTCTCTGAAGTCTTCCTGTTTCTCTTATTCCAGTTTGCGTGAAGCACCGTGCTCCTTGGGTAATCATATCTACTTGGCTCGTCAACGGTACAGGTCAGCGGCGCCCCCCCGATCTTGGGGGGAGGCATGCACAACCCTCCCGAGGGCCTGGCCGACTGGGCCAAAGTCATCGAAAAAATTCAGGAGGTGAGCTGCAGGTATCGCTTTTGGTGCATACGATCGGTCAGGAAAGACGCACGTTCCAAAAGCTAGCGCCATGCACATACGAGCTTGGTTGTCGCTAGAGACAACCCTGCCCCTGAAGATTGTATCGATCCTGAAAGCTGACTTCATGGTCGTAGATGGGACAAACTGACGTTTACGGTGCATCGGAGGAATGTGTAAAACATACATGCAGAGATTCATGGCTGTTAGAAGCCGGCGTCATGGAGGACGGATCTCGAGCGCGTACGGATGTCGTAGGTCGTCACGCTTGAGAGCACGGCAGAGGAACTACGGGGTAGTACGTGAGCACCCCGAAAAGTAGAGGTGTTGCACAACAGAGATAGGTGATCGCAAAGCAGTTGTGTTACTTTCGTATTGCGCAGTACATGCAGGCTTAGCCATCCTACTCAGCGTCCGAAAACCCAATGATTAATCAGCACTTCGCCTTGACGACGACGAACTTGCAGCTCGAAGGATGGGAACGCATCTTGGCGGCGGTGAACTCTGGCGGGGAGCATCTGGACGTCCTCATCGATGTGCTCATCGAGGACTACAAAATAAAATATGGAGCTGTGTGAACAATTGTAAGGCACAGGTCAGTGCGGCCCTGATTGATGCGTGCATGACGCAACAAGGGCCATGGATGGGCACGTGCCTGCCTCGATTCCGTCTGACGAACGGCATTGCAGTTTTCTTCGAACAAGTTCCGTGCGCATCACGGACCAAATGCCACGCGATCAACGCTACTGCCATACATACCATGAACGACTCCCACATCCCCTTTCGTTCACGTTTATTGCACCTCTGTCTGCGAACACCAGGAAGAGCAAGCGAGGCCTACCTAGGCGGGGCAGACCGACCGGCGAAACGCTGTGAGCTCCTGTCACCCATATCACGCATAAGGCACAATATATTGCCATGGTTGATGGAGCATGGAACCGTGGCCCGGCCACCATGCCTAGGTTTATCCAAACGCTTGTCACAGCCTCGTGCTGTTCGTGGGTTGGATGCTGCGGGGTCGGCTACTTACTGTAGACTACTGCCGTTGAAGGTGCCCCTCTTGAGATGTTGACGTTTTTATATTGTGAGATTGGCGAGAATAGCCCAAGGGCTTAACGTTGACATGCACGTGATGACGCCTGTTGGAGTGGAGTGAAAAGGAAACCCTTGGGGCTGCCGACTGGCTCCAGCAGGGATTTTGGTCTCCTTATCGTACAATAGTACTTCGGTACCCGTCTGTGAAGATGCTACAGTACGAGCATGTATGGGTGACACTGCAAAAACAAAACTCTTCTTGCTTGTTAATAGGAGGTGGGTGTGTTTGATGTGATCGACGGGGAGCGCTTGTTTGAGTTTGGCTGGCGGTGCAAAGCTGTGCAACATGCCGTTTGGGATGGAAACCGCGTCACGTCAGGGGCTTCACATGGGAAGTCCCGTGGGCACATGGGCGCCTCATATGCGCATCCATGGCCCGTCCCACGCGTCCCACGAGCGGGACATAGACGTATAAATCAGGCACTTGGGGCTACCCCGTGTTCTCATATCTACAACGACGCATGATGATACTTTATGGGCATTTTAGTGGGCGTCCCCGCGTGTCCAATGGGAGGCGCCGGAAGGAGGACGTCCCATGGGAGCCCGGGCACGTCGCTTGGAACGGTATTTCTATCAGGCGCATAGGACTAGCCTTGGGGTAGGACCACCCTTGAGACGCGTGGGCGGCCCATGAGACGCACATGGGGCGCCCAAGGGACGACTGATGCCCCACATGGGCATCCCAAGATAAATCCCAAGACTGTGAGGAATCTAACGGCCCTGCCTCCGTCCAGTTGAACTTGTTGTGCTTTCCCTCCCGTTCTCTCTCGGTCGCTCGCTATCGCTCACTTCCTGGAAACACAAGAGCAAAAGGGAACGCATCCACCTAGTATTGTTCTGGTGGTTGTCAACAAGTAACCCAACTGCAACAATAACAAGTGGTATTCCGTTGCTTCTTTTCAACACGGAATGGAACATTCGAATTACCCGCCCAGATGGTTTATTTGCTGTAGGGTCCATTACCACGATATTTACGAAATATCGGATGGCCGGTCGCACTATTACACGACCGACTGTACAATGTAGGGGCAGGTTCTGCGCCCCCGCACCCCGTGGGGCGGGCGGCCAACATGTAGCAACATGTGATGGGTGGTGAGAGTAAGAAGCGTTGAAGTTGAAGTGGGAATATGACGGGTGTTTCGAGCTCCGTCAACAATCTCGAGCAAGGTGGGGATGATAGATCCTTATCCCCCAGCGACTACGAAAGGGAGTAAGGTCGTCACGATACGAAGAAGAAGCTTTCACATTGAACTATCCAGGAACGAAGACTTGTCTCGCACCAGCGCGCGAAACTTCCGCCGGCAGACTCTCCTCCTTAGAAGTCACTCGTACATTAGTTGAACGTGTCAAAACGCTGAAACAGTTGGTTTGGTGATGAAACGGCGAAAATATCGTAATAGCGGTCGAAGCTTTGCTACCTATACATCGAAGTAACGAACACTTATCTAACGGTAGCAGTGTGGCTCGTTCTTGGCCACGTATCCAGCCTCTCTCTCAAATCCTTCACCCTCCCTTCCTTCACAGAAATCATATGTCTAGTGTCCACCGCAACGTTTCCCCGGCTTATCATCCCAATCACGCACGTCCTCGCCCGCGCCAACACCTACTCCTCGTTGCCTCTTCGCTGTCTAAGCTCTCATGGCGTGCCGCCGCTCTCATCTACTTGCGTTAACGCCAAACTCCACCCCCGGAGGCTTCGTGTCGTGCCGATACAAATCGCATCTTGTACTAGAATCACGCCCACGTTTCCATGGTTCACTACTGTACCTTCCCTTTTCTTAACTCTGCACTGCACCAAGATATCTCCTCCATATGCACTTGTTGGCAGGTTTTTACTTGCGCCGCTGTCCGCGGTTCTCTCGTGTCTCCCCCGGCAACGCAAACCATCCCTTCATGGCTTCCCCCTCTCGTGAGGTTTGGTGCCTACACTCGAATCTCCTCCTGGCGGCGTGAGTACACGCTCTTGTGTCTTTTGTCCCCCTCGTACTTCCCCATGTATTCCTTCGGACGCGTACAGTACAGGCGTGATCTCGTGTGGTGTTCAAAGGCCTATTCATGCCACAATTTATCAACACATCGACCACGGACGCATCGAGTCCTTCTACCCTGCGCAGCCCAAGCCCGCAGCCCAGCACGCGCATCGCGTCTACGGCAAGCCCTAGCCGATATCCTCGAATAGCATGACTGGCCACACTCGTAACTCGACCTTACAAGCATTGTCCAGTCAGCATTGACGGCCCCCACCACCAGTGAGCGCCGCGAAACGATGGGGCCCGGATAGACTTCAACGTACTTTCGCCGACCTATCCATTCAACCAAAACGCGAAGAACATCCGGCTTGAAGCGGAGAAACGTTAAGGTTTGAAAATCTGAACGCATGGTTCCCTAAATAGTAGACGATGTACCGTGCAAGTGAGGAGGGGGTGGTCAAGCATACCATTTGCAGGTGGAATGCAGACGACGGGGTGTCTCACCCCACATCCACCGGACAACATGCTTTTGTCGTCCGAAGATTAAAAACAGGTATGAATAAATACTCACACGTCGCGCTTCACTAGAGCCGTGACAAAAACTCCCACACGGTACTAAACGCACGGCGACAGACGGTCAAGCACGTCGCGGCTGCCCACACAGCCAGATCGAGCAGTGAACAGGTGATGTCGCAGACGGTCAAAGTGTCTGGAATCTATTATGTGCGAAGTATGAGAACAACTCAAGTCAACGCCGTCGTACTCTCATGCGACAGTTGGACAACTCTCGTATGGAGAAAGGAGAAGACCCTGATCGTTTTTTCGTCATAATTGATCAGCTCATAGACGATCTTCCACTATTGGATGAACCAATCACAGAGCACAGAAAGATGGATATCATTCTATCTGGACTGACCAGCGACTGTTAACCTTGTTAAATTTCAAGCAATGAAAGACTCCGGACTATCTCTCGAGGATCTCGTCATCATGATGAGAAATATGCACGTGAACAGTCTAACACGACCAGGATTGATCAGACACAGAGGATCAGCTATGTACACTGAAACCTCTACACAAATGGCCAAATCACGAGTAAAATGCCGCGCATGCGGAAGACTCGGCCATTTTAAATCTGAATGTCGCGTAACGAACACGGACAGGAATAAATCCAAGTTCAGGAAGAGTAATACACCTTCCGAGAACAGTGCAACTGCCCGTAATACATGGTGCTCGCTTCAGAATACGACTACGCATAACGATTCAACCTGTAGGGCGCAAGCTGCCAGTCACGCACAGAAATCAAATGTTGGAAAGTTACACGAGAACGCACATACAGTGATAGCTAATACAACTTCGCATAACGGTTCATTGCAAGGCACAAGCCGCCACTCACACGGCGAAATCACATGCGAAACGGTCACACATGAAAGTACACGCAGTACTAGCAGATAGAGCTACACGGAACACCGTACAGCCATACACCAAACCTGGCATATCTTCGGTAGATTCGTGCGAAGAAACTATGGGCTTCATATTCTCAGCACAAGATACGCAACAAACAGCGTATGGAACGACTCAGGAAGACAGCCAAAACCTGACTGTAGAAGTCGTCGGTGGTACAAATATCAACCACCAGGAAATCGAACGTGATATCAAAGTATCTTCGGTTAACACGCGTAAAGCGTATGCATCGACTCGGGAACATAGCAAGAACATAGCTATAACAGTCGACAGTGGTACAAAATTCAACCACTGGGATGATGGTCGCATCGAACTAACCGAACCAAATACACCAGTATCTTCGGTTGTGTATGAAGAAGAAACTATGGGTGTCGTATCTTCAACACACGCGTGCGCACCGAGCGCGCGCAGTGAACCCGCCGCACCAAGCGTGCGAAGACAAGCCGCGCCAAGCGTGCGAAGAAAAGCCCACACCGAGCGTTGCACGGAAGCCGCACCCAGTGTGCGCAGCAAAGCCGCACCAGAAGTGCGCACAAGGAAGCCGCATCGCATATGCGCAATAAAGCCGCACCCGGAGTGCGCAACGAAGCCGCGCCCAGAGCGCGCATCTTCTCGTCAGAAACGCAGACAGCGTTCGGATCGACTCACCGAAACAGTCTAGACATGACTACAGTGGAGCATCAAGACATTACGTTGATGACCAGCTCATCGAAGGAATGAAGACCAGGATGTTCGAGTACAAGACGCTCGACAATCCGACAATCATCACGACTGCAGGAAAACATCAACTTCGCGGTACAGCTACCGGGAAAGTGAGGGTCAAGGTCACCGACTCTCAAGGAAGGAAGAAGATCGCAACTTTCCCAATCACAATCGTTAGTGGAATAGGTCGAAACCTATTTTCATCTGTAGCAGGTCAACGAAAGGTTTCAAAACAATCATATCAAACGATTCAAGAATTGAAAACCGCAGCTGCAAGTTCCCACTTCGTAAAGATGGACAACTCTTCGTCATACAGATGGAGGATCTCGAACGTCCAAGGTCTGCGAAAAGAACAGCGAAGATTTGGCATCAACGATTGGGACATCTCAACGAAGCAAGAATGAAAAAACTTAGAGATCAGCCCAACACAGGCGTTTCATTTAAGGACACCTTGACACCCTGTAGAACATGCGCCCTGGGCAAAAGCACCCAGAGGATACACCCCAAGACAGCGAACGAGACCACATCGACACCATTCGAGCTCTCCTACACCGACCTAGCCGGGCCTTTCAAGACAGCACTGGACGGATCAAGGTACATCAGCAAGTTCACCGATC